TGAAGAAGGGGGAAAAAAAGAAGAAAAAAAAAGAGTTGAACCCCGCCGAGACGCCTTATTCACACACACACACACACTCTCTCTCTCTCTCTCTCTTTTTTTTCTTTTTTTTCCATCATGTGTAAATTTTGGAATTTTTGAACATCGTTTTCTCAAGGATGGTGTTTCGATTATTATTGTCATTATATTTATTATTATAAATATATATAGGATTTTTTTTTTTTTAAAAAAAAACGAAGCGCAATGAAAGCTGATCTGATCAAAGGCTACAAAAATTGCATGACATAATCATGGAAAATGTCGTACCCTCAAGGCGGAGACAGCCAATCAGCATCCACAGAATACATATATGTAGTTTTCAACTTCAACCCGAGGGACAGACGGACTCTCAGCTGCCTCCCCAGTGATACCATATAGTCGTATACTGTATCCGTCATCTTCTACGATACGTGTACTTGCTGGTCACCGACCCGCAGTCATGCCCGTCTCGACCGAGTACCTCTCCACCGGGGCAAACAGACAGACCGCCGTCGCAGACTGGCATAGAGACGGTCTCGTTGCTTTTGGCGCAGACTCCAACGTTGCCTTGTGGGAGCCGACGGTGAGTTCGACAGCCGCCATCATCGTTGACAGAGAACAGCAGGGAAGGGAGAAGAAGAGAGAGGAAAGGAGAAGAAGACAAGGGGGAGGGGGGGGGGGGAACCTGAAGAAGAGAGAGGAAAAGAAGAAGGAAGAAACAATGTCTGATCCTTCTCTCATAATATAGGCCGACCCCCCCAGAGGCGTCACAAAGCTCCTGAGCGCCCACACAGACATCGTCAGGGCCGTCCAGTTCCTGCCAGCCGCGGACGGCGACGAGTCGACCTACCTGGTCACCGGGGGAGATGACAAGACCCTGGTCGTGTGGAAGGCCCCGGTAAGATCGCAGAACTTCACCGTCGTCCAGACGGCCGCCGCGGGGAGCGACGACGCCCACGCCGGCGCCGTCAACTGCCTGGCCAGCCTGAGACTCACCTCCCCGGCGCATTCCCCTCGGCCGCGATGGCTCCTCGTCACCGGCGCCGCCGACGCCACCATCAAGGTGTGGGAGTTCGCCGGCGACGAGCTGCGCGCGGTGCAGTCCATCCAGACCGTGCCGAAGCTCTTCCCCCTGTCCCTGGCCCTCAGCCCGCTGGACCGGGACGGCGACGTGCTCGTTCTGGCTGCGGGGGGCACCAAGGACACTATCCAGATCCTCACGGCCCATGTCGGAGCCGACCGTGACGGCCACGGCGACGACCGAAGCAGCATCCGCTTCTCCGTGCAGGCGCGCCTGTCGGGACATGAGAGCTGGATCCGGTCCCTCAGCTTCACGCGCGAGTCGCCCCGCGACCCGGCGTCGGACCTGCTCCTCGCGTCCGCCAGCCAGGACAAGTACATCCGCATCTGGCGCGTGCGCGAGGGCGCCGAGCTCCCCGCGCGCGCGGCCGAGGGCGCAGACCCCCTGAGCGGGGCGTACCTCCCGGGCAGGTCGCCGTCCAACAAGGCGCACAGGCTGCGGCCGGCCGGCCGGGACTTCTCCGTCACCTTCGAGGCCCTCCTCCTCGGCCACGAGGACTGGATCTACAGTGCTCGGTGGTACTGCCACGACGATGACGAGTCCATCACCAAGGGGGGCGGCGGCACGCTCCGCCTCCTATCCACCTCGGCGGACAACTCTCTCGCCATATGGGAGGCCGACGCCGACTCGGGCATCTGGGTGAGCACGGTGCGCCTGGGCGAGATAAGTAGGGAGAAGGGCGCGACGACGGCGACGGGCAGCACCGGCGGCTTCTGGACCGGGCTGTGGTCGCCCGACGGCCGGTCGGTGGCCTGTCTGGGGCGCACCGGCAGCTGGAGGAGGTGGCGGCACGACGCGGCCGAGGACGCCTGGAGGCCGTGCGTTGCCGTCTCGGGTCACACGCGGGCCGTGACGGCCGTCGCCTGGTCAGCCCAGGGCGAGTACCTCCTCTCCACGAGCCTGGACCAGACCACGCGGCTGCACACGACGTGGAGCGCCGGCGCGGGGAGGGGAACGTGGCACGAGATGTCGCGCCCGCAGATCCACGGCTACGACATAAACTGCATCGACACCATCGGCGGCGGCGGCGGCGGAGGCGGCAGCAACCACGGCGCATCGTCGCAGTTCGTCTCGGGCGCGGACGAGAAGCTGATGCGCGTCTTCGGGGAGCCCAAGGCCGTGGCGTCCATGCTGGAGCGGCTGGCGGGCGTGAGCGCGGGCACGGACGGGGACGTGAGCGCCATGCCCGACGCGGCCAACATGCCCGTTCTGGGGCTGTCCAACAAGGCCATCGACGCCGTGGCCGACGACGACGACGAGATCGAGGCCGTCGACGACCGCGACCGCGAAGCCGTCGACCCGGCCTCGGTCGTCAGGCGCTCCCACCTCGACATCGACCACCCGCCCTACGAGGAGACGCTGTCGCGCCACACCCTCTGGCCCGAGACCGAGAAGCTTTACGGCCACGGCTACGAGGTGTCCTGCCTGGCCGCCAGCCACGACGGCCGCCTCATCGCCAGCGCCTGCCGCGCCAGCTCCGCCAACCACGCCGTCATACGGCTCTTCGAGACTCGTCGCTGGACCGAGCTCTCCCCGCCGCTGTCGGCCCACTCCCTCACCGCCACCCGCCTGCGCTTCTCCCCCGACGACTCCCACCTCCTCAGCGTCGGCCGCGACAGGCAGTGGGCCGTCTTCTCCCGCCAGCAGCGGGATCCCTCCGCCGCCGAGGTCGACGCCCCGCCCAGCTATGCGCTCGCCCAGTCGAATCCAAAGGGCCACTCGCGCATGATCCTCGACGCCGCCTGGGCTCCCACCCCGGCCGGCAAGAGCCCCCTCTTCGCCACGGCCGGACGAGACAAGCAGGTCAGGATATGGGCGGCGGCAGCGGCCGAAGCAGGAGCCGATGGTGAGGAGGCGAAGAAGTTGAACTTTTCACAGACCAGCTCGATTTCTGCTACGGGACCCGTCACGGCCGTCGACTTCCTGCCCTGGGACGTAGACGGCAAGTACGTGCTTGCCGTAGGCTCCGAGAGCGGCCAGGTCAGGATACACACTGTCGATGGTGATTCTCACTCTGTCGTGACGTCACTGCCTTTTACAGATGAGTAGGTTCTCTTCTTGTTTCCCCCCCATTCTTTTCTTTCTACCCCCCCTCTTTTTTCGACCGTATCGTATAATATCTTACTGACATTGAGTAGACTCAATCTCCCCAAGGCTGTATTGCAGCTGTCGTGGAGGCCGAGGAAAAAGGCTGACGGACCGGGAGTGTACGAGTTGGCCGTTGCTGGGGAGGATAGTTCTCTCAGGTTACTGTCGTTTGACGACGAGTATCTTTCTCAATGTACCTAGGAAGTAATGCATTGAGAGAATAAAGAAGTGAACAAACAAAAGAAGAAACATGTATATATATATGTATATATTATTTATTACATTGTGTGTATCACGCTATTTCGTCGTAGCCGTCGTTTGGGAGAGAGGATACAGGGATTGTAACGCCATTCCCAGAGCAAGTGATGGAGAAACGCAAGTCCAAAGATTGACGGGACCCCCAGAATAATAGAAGAAGAAGAAAATATATATGTACACGGAGAAAATGTCTTGCAGCGTCGTCTCGTTGTTGTTGTTGTTGTTGTTGTCGTCGTCGTGTATGTATGCTGTACCACGCAAAAAGTGTGTGCTCCGCCTACAACTCCCGCACAACAGTCTGGGCAGCTTCGGCGACAGCTTCGGCTGCGACGGTCGCCTGGGTCTCGTGCAGCGCGCCCGCGGATATGTCCTTGACGACGTCTGCCATGTCTATGTTCTCCCCGTTGATGTAGTACCACGCGCGGCCCAGGAGGAAGGAGATGTGGTGGGGGAGGTAGAGGATTGTGGCGATGAAGGTCAGGCTAGCGAGGAGGAAGAAGATGCTGTCTGTGTCAAGGTCAGGTCAAGTTAGTTTTCGTAATTCCTGTATTTTCTTCGGTAAAAAAAATTCTCGTCTTCTCGTTCTTTTTTTCTTCTTCTTTCCCTTCTTCCTTGTTCTTTCTCCCCCCTTTTTTTAAGAAGGAATTCTGAATATCCTTTTTTTTTTTTTAAAAAAAAAAGTCTTCAAACACGTAAAATAGAATAAAGAAAATAACAAAGGGGGCTGCAATCCGGACATACAAAAAGTAAACTTCTCCCCCGGAGTCATCATGTAGATGCTCAGGCTGAGCTCAAAGTGGTACTGCTTCCTCTGAAGCCATTTCCGAAGAGAGGCGAAGATAGACATCGTTTTTTTCTCCCTTCTTTCTTTCTTCTCCTTTTTGTTTGTTATTCGAAAAAAGGAAAGCCGTGAGGTAGGATTATAGTCGGGAAGGAGGGGAGGGAAGGGGGAGGATTATATTAAGGATATCAATCGGTAACGCGTCGTCGTGTCGTGTCGAAAGGCAGAAGAACATAAGGAGTAGAAGGGGAGGTTGTGATGGAAGGGAAGGGGGGGGAGAAGAGAAGAGAAGAAAGAAGAATAGGGTCAAGGTCAGCGTTACGGCTCCCCCTAAAGCATAAACGGTCCCCTGGTACTGGCACATGGGGTAGTTTATTGATTTATTATTTTATTTTTATTTCTATTTCTCGGTTTCGGGAGCCGGCACAACCCATTCCCGTTCCTATGCGTCATTGGGAAAACTACCATGGGAAGGAAATCGATTCTCATTCAAATAATACACCTTGACAATACAGAAAGAAAGGAGAAGAGAGAGAGAGAGAGGGGGAAGAGAAAGAAAGGCACGGGATACGAAAATACACACGCACACACACAACGCACACTCATCGCAATGCTACGCCTCTTACCACAAAGATTCTTTCGATTCCAACCTCGGTCCCTCCATCGCCCCCTATGTACAACGCCCACCTTGTTATCCGTCAGATTCCCACCACGTCCCAAACCTCCTCCAGATTCCGAGATTGAAGAATCCTATCTCAAAGGTAGCGGACCAGGTGGACAAAAGATTGTATGTGCTTTTTTCTTCCTTCGTCTTTTTTTTGTTTCTGTCCTGTCTTTTTCTTCTTCTTTTTCTATCTTTATACATATACACACATCTCCTTCCCCTCTCTCTACTTACCTCTCTTAAACACACGTGACAACACATCTGACACCAAACCAACCAGAATAAAACAAACTCCGCCGTCCAACTACGACATACACCTACAGGAATAGTCGTCAAGTCCCAGGCCACCAGGTCGAGATCCCAGAATAGGAAACACGCCAGGGAGCTGCTGGCCCAAAAGGTCGACGAGCTTCGCAACGGCCTCCAGAGCCGCGAGGCCATCGTTGGCAGGATCAGGGGCAAGAGGATCGCCAGCGCTGATAAGAAGAAGCGTCGCAAGTATAGGAAATTGAACGGTGGGCAAGAGCAAGAGCAAGAGCAAGAGCAAGAGCATGAACAGGAACAGGGAGGACGAGATCAGCAGCAGCAGCAGCAGCAGCAGCAAGGGAAAAAACCATCTACAGAAAGTAGGGGAGCAGCAGGCGCTGCACAGACAGGGACAAGCACAAGAGGGTGAGAGTCGTGGTTCGGAGTTGGCGTCTCAAAAGAAACAACCACGCCGACATAAGCACCTTGATGCTGTGCCCCGACAAGATATGCATCGCCAACCATTCGTAGATGCCGTCAGGGACAATACGTCCAGGACGAAAATACAACATCACAGTGCAACGTAGCCACTAGTATCTACAACAAAACAAGCATGCACTTCCGCCAGCTGCACACAGTCACGCCTACAACCAACACCTTCATGGCAACGTCTTGGGGAGTGAAACAAGGCAAAAGTAATTGTATAATCAACCTCCGGCTTCTATTCCCTGGGCGCTCGCATACCAAACGCATTCCGACTACAACACACACAGGCAGCCGTCACATCTCCTTTTTAGTAGAGCCAGCACCCGCCCCCTGACCATGTTACCAACAACTTTTCGTAAATCAGACACTCGATTGGGAAGCGCGCGCAGCCAAGCAGACGTCGCATCCGACGCCAGAGCCCTGGCCTTGGTCCGATGTCGGGATGCTTCAAGGCGCCAGGATTGGCTCTTGTCCGTTTGTTGTTGCTGTTCGCGTATCAGTCAGTATGGGGCCGGGACAGAGGAGAGGATACGTATACACGGCACAACACAACGCGTAGGGAGACAAATTACCTTAGAAGCACTTGCGGTGGACGATGGAGGGACCACTCTCGTCGTACTCCTGCTTGGAGATCCACATCTGCTGGAAGGTGGACAGGGAGGCGAGAATGGAACCACCGATCCAGACGGAGTACTTGCGCTCGGGGGGGGCAATGATCTTGACCTTCATAGAGGAAGGAGCAAGAGCAGTGATCTCCTTCTGCATACGGTCGGAGAGACCGGGGTACATGGTGGTACCACCAGACTATTGAATTTGTTAGCAAATCTCTTTCCCTTCCGCACTACAAATATATATATATATATATATATATATATATATATATATATATATATATATATATATATATACGCATATCAACTCCTCTCCTCTCAACTTACCATGACAATGTTGCCGTAGAGGTCCTTGCGGACATCAACGTCGCACTTCATGATGGAGTTGAAAGTGGTGACGTGGATACCACCGCTCTCAAGACCAAGGACCGAAGGCTGGAAGAGAGCCTCAGGAGCACGGAAGCGCTCGTTGCCAATGGTGATGACCTGACCGTCGGGGAGCTCGTACGACTTCTCGAGGCTGGAGGACTGGGCGGCAGTCTGGATCTCCTGCTCGAAGTCAAGGGCGACGTAGCAGAGCTTCTCCTTGATGTCACGGACGATTTCACGCTCGGCAGTGGTGGAGAAGGTGTAGCCGCGCTCGGCCAGGATCTTCATGAGGTAGTCGGTAAGGTCACGACCAGCCATGTCGACACGGGCGATAGCGTGGGGGAGAGCGAAACCCTCGTAGATGGGGACAACGTGGGTGACACCATCACCGGAGTCGAGGACGATACCCGTGGTACGACCAGAGGCGTACAGAGACAGGACGGCCTGGATGGAGACGTAGAAGGCGGGGGCGTTGAAGGTCTCGAAGACAATCTGGGTCATCTTCTCACGGTTGGACTTGGGGTTGATGGGAGCCTCAGTAAGGAGAACGGGGTGCTCCTCGGGAGCGACACGGAGCTCGTTGTAGAAGGTGTGGTGCCAGATCTTCTCCATGTCGTCCCAGTTGGTCACGACACCGTGCTCGATGGGGTAGCGGAGAGTCAGGATACCACGCTTGGACTGAGCCTCATCGCCGACGTAGGAGTCCTTCTGACCCATACCGATCATGATACTATCGTCGAACCGTCAGCACCGTTGCTGACACAGTTTATGGGAGGGAGAGGAAGGGGGGGGGTTTGTGAGATTTCGGTCCCATCTAGGTCGACAGCCAGCAGCCGGTGGCTGTCAGCGACAAGAAAAATTCATGACTTACCCATGGTGACGGGGGCGACCGACAATGGAAGCTGTCGCAGAACGTCAGCTCCAGCTCTATTGATGTTTTGGAGACGACTCGCTGTCCGGACTCGCCAGGATCGATCGAGGAGAGAAAGTTTCAGGGGGTATGTGGGGGTTCTGTACTCACGGAAAACCGCTCGGGGAGCATCGTCACCGGCGAAACCGGCCTTGCACATACCCGAACTATCAACGCGTTAGCTCCATCGTCTGATTCTCTCCCCAAAGGCGATAGCGCCCATTCCTGTTGCCGGAGGAGCTGGCTGGCCTCTGCTCTCGTGGCTATTTGATGCAAGCTCGTGCGCCAGCCTGCTCAACTAAAGTTTTGGGGGGAAGAGAGGGGTGGCGGTGACGACGATGTCGGTGAGACGAATGCCTCTGGGGGAAAACGGCTTACCCATTGTCGATGACGAGGGCGGCGACTTCCTCTGTAGATTCGTGGCGGGTCAGCAAGAGTTCTCTCGTCGTGCAGTTCGTGATGGTTCGAATCGCTCATGGCCTCTCGGCGCGATAAGGGGGGGGAGAGGAGGGGGGGGGGGAGAAAGCTAGATGCTTCTGCGGCGAACGTACCCTCCATGGCTGTGGATTAGAAAATGAGAGGTTTAAAAAGAAGTTTTACGAAGAAGAAAGAGACACGACAAATGTCAATGGGCCCCGAAGAAAGCAGATGTCGTCTGAGCTGGATACAGCGAGTGGTTCGTCGACGAGAGTGGAAGCGTCGAAGTTCAAAAGGTAGGAAGGAGATGGGATGGAGACGGGGGGGGGAAGATTGGGCTTGGGCGAGCTGAAGATGTGGAGGGGGGGGGGGCAGTTTAGCGGAAAGGAGGGAAAGGCATGGGCTTGCGGCCCACCATGTCACGAGAAATCTGCGGGCATTTGGGGGACAAAGGAGCCTGTAGATGACCATCTGGGTTGTCTACAGGTGGTGAGAGGTGCTGTAACATATTATCTATTAGCGGATAACCTACGGGCTGTGCACACAGGGCACACACAGCACAGAACACACAGAATAATGAACTACTACTAGTAATATACGTTACAGTATTATTGCGACCACTACAAGTTATCAGCACTACGGAGCACTATGAGTACCAAGTATCAGTACGGGCAGGTAGGAGGGCACACCAAGAAGAACGTTGACGCTGAGGTGGCCAGTTCCAGTTCGAGAGGTGGGGGTGGTCTGGTTGCCGCTTCGACGGTCATGATTGGCTGGTAATGGTGGCTGGGACGTGGGAAGGCCCCAGTTGGTGGTGAGCGGTGACCTGTAGACTCGTACGGGGTATCCGTACGTTACTTCCAGGTCTCGTACTGGTCGCCTCTCGCTATGTCTATCCCCCCCCCCAGGCCCAAACCAGGCCTTGGCCTATCTGGCTTCGTCACCATCTCTGGCTACGGTAGCCGCTACGACCATGTACGAGTAAGAGTCAGAGCAAGAACTAACGGTTATCCGTCGCTTCCCCCCCTCCTTCTCTCTCCCCGCCTTCTGTCGGAATGGCGCAGCACCTCGAAAAGAGGGCGCCTCGGAAGGAGCAGAAGGAAGCCTGGGCCTTAGTAACTCTCTTGCGTGGCGGACATATTCGTCAGCATCGGCGGAGCAGAACGGATTGCTGCGAGAGAGAGTCATCGATTCGATGCTATGCAGAGATACCCATACCATGACACGGTCAGATAGCTTACCGTACGGCTCAGCATTACAATGGTCCCCCCTTCCCCCCCTTCAAAAAGGACAAGTCATTCCTGCCGTGTCGTGTGTACGGGTACAGGTACAGACTGACACACACACATTCTCGCATACTTGGGGAGGTTAATATTACGAGGAGGCGGCTTCAACTGTAGACTGGCAGGCGGTAATCATCATACTGTCTGATAATATGATTGCTACGGATTACAGATTACATGATCTGATATGGCCATTCACAAATGGTTTTACGGCGTACTGACACGTACCGACAAAGCGAAGTGTGCCCCAACAAGATAATAATACTCTACATATAAAAGTCTCGTAGTAATATCACTACGAGTAGGTAGGTCGGGGATGGGACCGTCCAGTCCCCGTCACCGCCTCCATCAGAAAGGAAGAGCAACATGGAAGCCCCTGCCGCCTTGCAGAAACTAGATAGTGATACTTGTCGTATGAGGGAAGTGCGAAATTAAGACTGCCTATCTCGATTTCACTATTTTTTTTTTCTCCTCGAATATCCATGGCTTGGATCATCTCCTTCCTATCCTTTATTGTTGTTCTTTTTTTTTTTCGCGCCCAACTATGAGCACTGAGGAGGAGCCGCCACCTCTCTCTCTCTCTCTCTCCCTCTCTCCCTCTGTTGGACAGGCGTTAAAGCAGCGATGAGGGGCACCAAGGGTGGGGCACGGATTTTCTGCCAGCAACACAAATTGGCGTCGTTTCGCAGGATAAAGTGGTATATTAAACCGACTGTCCCGTAAATAAATCAATAAAAAGAGTGAGGGATTGTCTCCCCAACGGTGGCAATTTCGTAAGAAACAAGATACGACTGGTATGTTTCCTCTATCACCTTTTCAACGACAGGCTCGACGGACGTTGTATCAAGAAGAAAAAAAGTAGATGAGACCAACGGATCTCTACAGTGAAATTCTTCAACGAATAATCCTCCATGACACAATTTGTACATAGTGACTTGTGTGGAACGCTAGTCCCAATATGGAAAGCACTCTTCATGAAGCTTCCAGAATGGGCGAGCGACGTCGCTGACTACATTTTACTTTGTGGTAATGCTGGTAGAAAAAAGAAAAATCAAGATACATGATACTTAAAAAGAGTTGATATCCAGATAAACGTCACAACAGTTCTGGTATGATCCGGGTATATGCTTCTCTTTCTCACAACGAACACCCCCAAGAACTTCTGCCCCCCTCTGGAAATAAAATAAAAAGAAGATTGCAACAAAAGAAGGACGAGAAGAAAAAGGTAGCGAGAGAAAGAAAAGAGAGTGAAGAGAAGACAAGTCAAGAAGAAGAAAAATGGGTGACAAGAGGCTCAACGACCTCCTAAAATGGAGCATCGAAAACTCTGATACGACGCGCAAAGACCCCGCCGCCTCGGCCGCCGCCGCCTCGACCCCATCGCAGCTGACGCCCGAGGTGCTGAGCGCGCTGATGGGCGGTCCCTCGGAAGCCGACCTGATGCGCGCAGCCATGGAGGTCATCGTCTCGGAGGAGGAGGGTATCAGCCTGGAGGACAAGCTCATCGCCTTTGACAACTTTGAGCAGCTGATCGAGAACCTCGACAACGCCAACAACATGGCCAACATGGGTCTCTGGACCCCTCTGCTGGACCAGCTCACCCACCGGGAGCGCGACGTCCGCCGCATGGCCGCCTGGTGCATCGGCACCGCCGTCCAGAACAACCCCCGCACCCAGGAGAAGCTGCTCGCCGTCGGGGGGCTCCCTCCGCTTGCCCGCATCGCCACCTCCGACCAGGAGCACGAAGACGTCCGCCGCAAGGCCGTCTACGCCCTCTCCTCCGCCGTCCGCAACTACCAGCCCGCCCTGGACCTGTGCGCCGCCGAGCTAACGGCAAACGGCCATGCCACCGACCAGGTCGATGCCAGCAACATGGAGGCCGTGGATGAGATTATGAACTCTCTCCGCGAAAAAGCCAAGACTGCTACTGCTACGGCTGCGTCTACATAAGACGCCCCCCTCTCCTCCTAAACGGAAAAAAAAAAAAGAAGAGGGGGAAAAGATGATACGAGTGATACGTCGAGATAAGGGGAAAATGACATGACAAAACAAAACAAAAAATGGAGATGTATACTGGGCTGGGAAAAAAACGGAGTTATCAGGAGTCCTGTTCTTGAAAGGTAGCGCACGATGTACGACATTGGTTCTCTGCGTTTTCTGTTTTCTTGTCGTGGTTATGCGGTTACGTGGTTGCCAAGATCTTTATACACATGGATGGTTACATGTTTAAAAATCGGATTCATGTTGATGATTATATCCCAACAATACATCTAGTCACAATGGAGGTTTACAGTAATCTACTTTACACGCGGCTGACACTGTCGACCGTCTAAACAACCTCTTCCATTCCCCCTTTTCTGGTCATTTGCCAAAAGTGTATGAGGCAAGAGACGCTTAGTCCTTGACCTTCCCGTAGAACGGAATGCCCAGGGCCTTCATGAGTAGTCTGCCTTGACGATCCGACGTAGCCGTCGTCTTGATGCTGATGTAGCAACCGGGTATCATCTTGGACGGGTAGGCCTGAAGTGTGGCCGGTCAGCTGCTGTGCACACAAAGGGTGGCAGTTTTGCTTCCCCTCGAAGGAAAGGGAAGAAGAAGAAGAAGAAGAAGAAGAGAGACATACAGCATAGTTGAACTCGAGCTCGGGGAAAAACGCCATGGCATCCGGAGTCAGGCCGAGCGAGAGGTTCCCGTGACCATCACCGCTGGTAGCCCTGACACCGGGCCACTCCTTGATCTTGGGCAGGACCAAGGTGATGAGCTTGTCGAGGAACTCGTAGGCGGCGTTGCCCTCGAGGTTAACGTGGGCGCCGCCGACGTCGCCCTTCTTGATCTTGAACTGGACGACGTTGCTGCGCAGCAGGTTGACCTTGGGATACTGTCCCGTGATGGCGAGGAGGACAGCGCGGGCCGTGTGCAGCCACTCCTTGTCCTCGCTGGCCTTGGGAGCGTGGACCGAGATGCTGACGCCCTTGATCTCGGGGATGTTGGTGGGCGAGATGTCGCGCTCCAGCAGGGGAAGGCGGTCCGACCCGGGTCCTCGCGGCGCCCTCCTGGGACGATTCTTGTGGTAGGGGGAGGAGCCGTCCCACTCACGGAGGTTGCCCTTCTCCGACGTCGAGCGGACGGTGCCGGGGGGGGTGTGGTGGTACGTCAGGGTGAGCAGGTCGGGCGCCACGGTGCTCTCGAGAGTGTGCCTTATCCTCGGGTGGTTGAAGGGTCCCGGGACGAAGTCTCGCGCTGTGGGGTCCGACGAGGGGGGGGACTGCACCGGGTGCAGAGGTCCGCGGTTGTACTTGGGAGGGTGGTACTGGTATCTTCAATCGCCGCGGCAGAGAGCCCCCTTTTGTTAGCTGACCGATCGGGTATTGCCAATGTGGACTTGTGTGCAGATTCGTATGTCACCTGTTTCCGGGGAGTTGCTGGGTGCGCGTGCTCCTCTTCTTGGGATCGAAGGCCTCGATGCGAGACCTGTCCAGCTCTGACGTCTGCAGAGACGACGCGGAATCCAGGTCTGAGAAGACGTTGTCGGTAACGGCTGAAGCCTTGCTGGAGGCGAATCTCCTGGCTGCTGCTGCTGCTGCTGCTGCTGCTGCTGCTGCTGCTGAGGGATTGGCTGCCGCCCGGATGGGTATCTGTCTCGGCAGGACAAGGCCAGCGATACGGGCCCCTTGGCGAGTGCAGGCCATAATGGTCTGTCGCTGTCGTCGTCGTGGGGAAGAGAAGTTGACGGGGGGGAGGAGAGGAGGGTAGATGGGTCTGCGCCGACAAGAACCAGAAAGTCGCGTGTGAAGGAAATTTCCCCCGTCAGGCGTCCCGAGAAGTTGGATCAAGCCACATCTGGGCCGATAAATGTGGCTGGTGCTTATATGTGTGGCGGCGCGGGTGCCTCGTCTCTCCTGTGGATCCCACCACCTTTTCTACTTGGATGACGAAGGACGAGGTAATACATCATGTAAATCACGCCTCGTCCCCGTCATCCGACCTGGTTGGTTGATTAGGTAGGCCTCCAGGTGCTCGGCTCCTGATGTATCTGGCAGTCTGTTTCCGTACTACGCGACGTACTTGGCCACGGTGGATGGGGACAATGGCATGGTCACGGTCTTCCCCTTCCCGCCGCCGTCGTCATGACGCAGTTCCCTCGGATGATGAGGTTATCATGCAGGCACCGAAATGTGACGGGCCTCCATCACCTCCTAGATGCTACCTTGCACGATTAACTCTTTTTAGAGGTGTGGTATATGGTAATGATTAGCTGGCTGCTCCTGGATGCCTACCCGCACTTGACCTGCGAATACAATCAACAATATCGGCATCTACCCCGACTGAATCGTATTAGGAGAATGCCAGTTAGTCGGACTGCGGCCTGATACGGGATACATCCAGGGCAGGCTTGTCGAATCTGCTTCCTCTGCCCTGCTTATCTCTCTGGCAATATTGCGAGGCTGCATGAGGTGTTGCACGTTGACGCCAAGTCTAGTTGTTGGCTCGTTGAGGGCTGTACGAGGTAGGCGGATTACCGTACGTAGGCAGCCAGATGTTGCAGATGTTGACCGCACATACGACCACTTCTCGTACCCAGGCACTTGAGTAGTCATCCTGCACTCACGAGTAGGCGGTACATGTGTGAGTGATTGTCATCAATACAGCGTAGTATCCGTACGAGTAGAGCTGCCTCGGAATATGCACTTTGTTTCATGCGGTTTAAGCATAGACATGGTAGTTAATTCTTAGCGAGCGTCTGGAATTCGTCGTCACCCCCGTGCTTGGGGTCGTAAGTCGTAGATTCTGTCGGATTCTATACGAATACGTCGTATTAGCTTGAATGGTCATAACATGGGGAACTATGACCTCCTGGCCCGCGAGTCACCGGGTAGGGGTCCTGTGCTGACAGCCTGGCAATTACAGACCCGGACTTCCCTCCACAGGGACGAACCCCGCCAGTTACGAGACTACGAGAGCACGTACAGTGGTGTGAAGGGGCACTGGGTTTAAACAGGCGCCCTGAACCATGCCCCTCCGTTCCCTAGGCTTTCCCTGCTCGTAGACCTTCCCGCCCTATGTCCTGTGCACTCGTACCTGTATTCGTAGACCTGCAATAGCCTATAACACTGTTGCCTATAGGTAGAGGTTCCTCCGGCCAACTCCCTCGAGGCTCAGCGGAGTCCTTGCCTCTCAGGCTCCCATGCCGCTTCCAAGTTTAGGCTGTTCAGCCCAGACCATCATCATATCAAGGTAATGGCAGGCGCCAACTGCCGCCACACCGGCCTTACTCGTTGTAAGATTTAAGAATATTACAGCCAACTCCGCAATCCCCCCAGAGAACGAGAGGGTTAAAATAAAAATATTTTTTTTTTAAAAAAAAAGGGTAAAAGAAAACGGCTGTAACTCCACGATTGTCATACGACGAATTCGCTCTACCCTTTTTTTCTTCACCTCCTTCTCTACTGTCAATCTTTGATGATCAGATCCCAACAAACATCCTTCGCCAGCCTCTCGTCACTGCTTGATACTGCTGCTACTGCTACTGCCAGAGTATCCCCTCCCCTTCAGGTCAGACTGCCGCCCATCCGTCGTGCGTCCCAGAGTCGATCGTGCTCCGACCTCCGCTACCGCCAAGCTTCTTGTCTCGCCACCAGCTCCTCCTTCGACTACCCCTCTATCGAATCACCACATCGCCCTTGCAAAATTATCTTGGTGTCGACAATGTAGACTGCCGTCTGCCACCTCTTTTCCGCCCACCTGGCCTAGAAGTTTCTGCTGCAGCCACTCGCGATCCCCTTGGCTGCCGCCGCACTTGTATCCAATCCCGCCTCCCCCACCACACTCACTCTCTCTGCTCGCTCGCCGCTCGGCCAACGACAAGAAGCGACAGCCAACATGAAGGAATTTCCCAAGAAGCTACTCAGCATACGGGACAAGAATTCCTCAAGTCATCAGCATAGGAGCAAGTCGGCCCCTCCCGGTGGAAAGGTGCTGTAATCAGATCCCCTCCTCCCTACCGTGTGTGTGGCATCTTGCTGACTTTGACCGACATAGACGAGACCGTTCGTCGCAGATGTCTTTCGTTCTAGAAAGCAAGATGCTTCCAAAGATGGGGCAGAAGACAAGAAGGCCGTAGAGGCCAAAGTGCGTTTCCTCTCCCCTCGGTCTCACGGCTGATTCCGCTAACCGCTGTTGCTGCTCTCAGGTCGCCGAAGTCCAGCGCCGGTTAGACGACCTCGGTATCCAGAACGTTACCGCAGACCACATCAAGGAGATCATGACGAATGAATATGCCCAGGGCGACCCGGAAAAGACGGCCGACTTCATCGACATCGAGCAAAAATCCTCAGCCGGCATCATTGTGCCCTACGACCCCCAAGTCCATATGGTTGGCGCCGAGAACCGCAAATTTGTGACGTGCTACCTGGACACGCTCCTGTTCTCCATGTTTGCCAAGATGGATGCCTTCGAATGCATATTGAAGAACAAGTTCCCCCCCGAGGACAGCAGGAACAAGTTGGCCAACCTGTTGCGATTATGGGTCAACATGCTTAGGACAGGGAAATTGATACATACAGACCTGGTGCGTTCAGCTGCTTGTTCCAAATTCGAGAGGGGACCTCTTGGCTGACGCAATGAACACGCAGACGGAGCTCATACAGGAGACACTTGCTGAGTGTGGGTGGGCAGACGCCCGTGAATTGGAGCAACAAGACACGTCGGAGGCGTTCGCTTTCATCACGGAGACGTTGCAGCTGCCGCTTCTTACCTTGCAAGTCGATCTCTTTCACCATGGTAAAAGGGACAAGGACGACCACAAGGTCGTGTACGAAAGACTTCTCAACCTCGCCGTGCCCCCCGACCCGGAGGGAAGGGGAATCAGACTCGAAGACTGCCTTGAAGACTACTTCAATACCCAGGTCGACGTGATGCGGGATAGTGTCGAGCCTAAGAAGTCGGTACTCGATGAGTTGCGTCACGAGGGCAGGCCGTCCCTGCTTGCCCACCACGGTTCGAGTATGAGCAAAGATGAAGCGAGCACAACGGCAGCGTCGCTCGTGTCCACGGACTCGCCAACGTCACTCAACGGCCATGCCAAGCCAGACGACGACAACGAGGCCCATACACAGCGGGCCCATCCAGACCTGCACCGCAGCACCACGTGGGATACTCCGCCGTCGCGGTCTGGAAAAGAGACGGCAGAGGGGGGGCTCTCCAACCACCCACGAGCCACACGACACCGATCAGCAAGCGTCATACAGAGCGTCGTCATCGACGAGTCCGGGCACCCATCTGCTGTTGAGGGGCCAGCAACAGCACGACACAAATCCAAGTGGAATCGGTCAACTGTAGTCAAGGCCGTCACCATACCGGCGTGGCAGTTTTTCAAACTTATCCGTGAGCTTTCCTCCGCCCTCGAATGAGAATCCAGTCAGCGTCTTGCGCTCTACTGACATGTTTCTATAGCCTGGCATGCGGTCTCCAGCACTGAGCCCAAGAACAACCTGGAGGTTGCCATGAACTTTGACCAACGACCTGTCGTTGGCATCTGTCTCAAGCGCTATCTCGTGACTGAATCCGGGCAACCCCAGAGGCACAACACGTACATAGATATCCCCGACAGCCTGCGCCTGCCGCGCTTCATGCTCGCCGGCGGATCTGGCTCCGGCCACGAGGATAGGGATGGCCCGGTTCTGGACACCGAGTACAAACTCGTACTCCAATCGGTCATCTGTCACCGGGGCGATAATCTGCAGTGTGGGCACTACTTCTCGTTTGCCCGAGTAGCACCGAGGGTTCTCACCGACAACAGACGGCTCGACATCGACCCGCCCCCCGATTACGAGGAGGCGCAGTGGGTCAAGTTTGACGACCTTGAAGTCGACCAGGGGCGCGTCACCTACGTCGAGAACATCAAGCAGGCACTGAAGGAGGCGATGCCGTACCTGCTCTTCTACCAGGTGGTCCCCATGGTGGATGCGCCGTCTAGCGACGGCACGGCACCTGAACCTCCATCGTATGACGACTTCCGGGCCGAAGTCGCCAACCTGGACGGCAGCAAGGATATCACCAAGAATGGCGACGTCCCGCCTGCCGCGTCCTCGGATACTCTCCAGAGCCCGACAAGTAAGCCGCCCAGCATACGCTTCTCGACCGAGATGGAACGGCGAAGCAAGAGCTCCGACATGACGACGGCGGCAGGTGGGCAGTCGCTGTTCACCGGCCTGCTGGGCCAGATAGAGTCGCGGCGTCAGAGCATGAACCTGACGGACTCGGCGGCAGCGACGCCGGCGCGGACCCCCGAGTGGCAGCAGTCGCCCCTGGCCGGCCCGGTGGACGAGACGACGGCATCGCGGCTGTCCAGGGCGGCGGCCCGTTTCAAGGGGCGCCAGAGCCGACCGCCCAGCCAGTCAGGCGAGAACCGCGTGAGCAGCGCCATGAGCCGCGTGGCCGGGCTCATGATACGCCCGAGCCGCGACAGCCTGAGCAAGGACGGGGCCATGGCGGAGCCTCCGGCCCTGAGCATCTCCAAGTCCGGGTCAATCAACGGCCGTCTGAGCGCCAGCATGGACGAGTCCAGGGCAAACAGCACTGAGTCCGTCGTCCCCTACGAGGAAGACAAGGCCACACCTACCGCTGCCGATGCCGGCGCCGGCGCTCCTCCCGCCCCGGTCACCGCCCCCCCCTCAGCAGCATCTACCAGGCCATCGTCCCGGCAGGGAGCCGCTCACAAGAACGGCCACACGAGGAACAAGTCTACTCAAAAGGACAAGGATAAAGAAAAGGCGGCGGGTAAACGCAAAGCTGTGTCTCACCAGCCAGAGAGGGAGTGTACCGTCATGTAAGAAGTCTTTGAGAAGGGTATATCATGGACTTTTTTCTTCTTCTTTTCTTTCTTTCTTTCTTTCTAAAGCTCTCTTTTCTACCTTGGCATGGCCGTTTGCATTCTTTGATAATGGGGTACATCTTTTTCAATTTTTCATGAGGGGGAAAAGTTGTAAGTAGACGGACATAGATACCGGGGGGGGAGGGACAAGGAGGGTATTAATTAGCATGGCGTTTTTGGCAAAGGATTTTGAAATAATTTTTTTGTTCGAATGTGAAGAAATTCTCGTCCGAAATACTGGGCACTGCTACATGTGTCATGGCAAACATATGAAGATATATATATGTTCTGCCGCTCGTAAACATGACACTTGTGAATTCATCTCATGGATACATATATGTCAGACACAAGGTTGTTTTCCTGTTCCTCTTCTATTTTCCCGATGTTATATACAAATACATGTGGACTGCCCTTCCCATCGTGTTTTTTTTCCCTTTCTTTCTGTTCTTCTTTCCTTTTCAAGTCCAGTCTTGACACATCACTGATTACTCTAAAAAAAAAACAAGATTTTTTTTTTGAAAAAAAGGTAATGGTAAGGACGTGCGTGTCCATCATCTTTTGGGAGGGTGTGTTTTCTGAGGTCCGACAACATGTCATAGCCATACATTTTTCCTACCTTGGGCCTGTCTATCATGAGGTTTGGGGTGTGGGAGTTTTGGGGAGGGGGGGGAGGGGAACAAGGGGAAATGATTACAAGTAGGATAAAACAGGAGGAAAAAAATAACATGAAGAAGAAAATCACTTCCCCTAAACCCCGTTGATGTCTTTGGCCTTGTACATTTCTTCTTTCTTTTCTTCTTTGATTCGTTCGTTCCCTTTTTCTTATCAAATATAAAAAAAACCAACGGGGAAAAAAAAGAAATGAGTTAGTATACATTGAGTGCCGAGCTTTTCGGCATTAGATTTTTTTTTTAAAAAAAAGTTAGAAAAAAAAAGAGGGATTGTCGTCAAGGAGAGAGGAGAGGGCGTTTAAAAGGGAATGTTGGTGGGGGTGGCGACGCCGACGGCCTCTTGCTGCTCCTGGACCTCCTCCGGAGCAGCCTCGATGGAGACGCCGAGACCGAGCTTGGCGGATTGCTAGGAGTGCAAGTTAGTCTCAGAGGTTCGAGTCAAGGGGTGAAGAGGGAAACAGATCAAGGTCATACCGTGAAGTGGTCAATGTCGGCGGCAAAGCTCATCATGACGGGGGGAGCGACGCGCTTCTCGAGGAGGCAGCTCAGCTTGCCCTTGGAATCGACCTGGGCGCGGAAGGTGGACATGCGGAAGTCGTACTTGGCGCCGATGGTGGTGACACCCTCCTTCTGGATGCCGCCGCCCATCATGCCGCCGGGGGAGGGCACGAGGCCGAGGCTCATGTCGACGCCGGCCTGGACCTTGTCCGAGAGTCTGCGCCAGTAGGAGGTGTTGAGGGTGCCCATGGCGGCCTGGAGCTGGGCAGTGGCCACCCAGTCCTCGGCCTTGTAGCGGCCGCAGTACGACACGGCGCACTCGGGACCCTGAGCCAGGGCCTGACGCTGGTACAGAGTCTCCATGCCCAGGGCGAGGCGGGGCGTGATAGACTGCAGGTAGCTGCCGATGAAGATGCCGGTAGCGCCGCCCTCGAGGAACGAAGGGTTGAGCATCTTGAGCGACGCGCTGAAGTCGTTGCCGGTGTACTCGTGCTCGAACTGGGCCATGTCCTGGCCGCCCGTGGAGAGCGAGAGCTGCGACTTGGACACCAGCTTGTCGGTCCAGCGGTAGTTGAAGCGACCGGAGAGGGTACCGTCGTTGTCGACGTTGCCCTGGGCAAAGATCTGGAGGAGAAGACGGGTTGGATTCATGCTTCGATCTGTATAGACGAGAGAAAGAACGAAGGCGATGGAAGGTGAGCACTAACCTTGTTGGTGCCGTACATGGCGGCAAATGTGTAGGGGTTGATGCGCTCGCCCATGGCGAACTGGTGAGAGACCTGGAACAGGGGCGTCATGCTGAAGATCTTGGTGAGGTCGGCGCGGACGCCCGTGAACATGCCATTGTTGAGAAAAACATCACGCTGGACCTCGCGGGACAGGCTCTCTATGGTTCCGGGATTGGACAGACCGAGCTTGGCCCTGCGCTCCGACACGTAATTGAGGGCATCGCCTAATGTCGTCGAGATGGGGTTTGAGAAGACAATGGTGTTTATGAGATCGATTGCCGAGGCCATGATGGGCTAGAAGCAGTGTGCGCGCCGGGGAGGGAGGGTTGGCGGGCGACGGTCTGTGGACTTTGAGATGGAAGGAGGAAGAGAGAGAGAGAGAAGGGAAAAAAAAGACGTAAGCTCTTCTCGCCCAGTAGGAAAGGGAGAAAAGGAGAAAGAGAGTGTACGGGGCGGGAAAAAAAAAAAGAGGGCCCGCGAATTATTAGGTCTCTTTTCTTCTTGTTCTTCTTCTAGTAGAATAATAAGAGCAAAAGAAGTTAAGGAATGATGGGATATGGGACGGACTCTTCCTGAGTCGATGATGAGCTAATGGCTCCAGAGACACGCGAAGATTTGGGGGGGGAGGTGGAGGATGAGGGAGAGGAATTAAGGTGAAAAAGGAAACTCGCTCTCTCGATTTAGTGAAGTTGGAGAATAATTTTCACGGCTCAGGCGAACGAACAGCACTCAGAGGCCAACTGGAAGCGGGTGGAGCTTACGGACGTGCCTGAGGGAGGCCCCGGGGAGTGCCTGAGGGCGAGCTGGTTGCCCGCTAGAGCCAGCTTCTCCCCTCCTCCCGGTGGCCTCGACAGCAGTCGCTCACTCAGCAGCAAAGTTGACACGCTGCACCGGATGCCCTGATGATCCGGTCCGACTCGCTCCCGAACTCGCACCAAAGCCGTAATTGCATGTACATATGCTCTGTACATCTCCATTGACCGTCATGCTACTACTATCCACGTCGTGATGGGCGCGAGTGCAGAGAGGAAGAAAAGGCCGACTCTCATCGATTACATATACAATTCACCGTCAACCCAGAATACCCTCAACTCATGGCTCTCCCACCTACAGAGGACAACTTCCGAGTTCCGTCAGCTCAGCGTGGACAATACCGTCTGTACAGGTAGTGAGTGACACGCTGACAACTATCCCGCTTCCTCTCGACCTGTCTCGGCACGATCCTGCCTCCAGATGAGCTGTGCTCCATGGAGGATGCCTTGCACGGTCGATGCCGACCTCGCTCCGGGAGGTGGGGGGGGGGGGGTATAGATATCGCATATCCGCCTCGCGACTGTTGCAGTAATCGATCAAGGCGTGCATCGATTCGCCGTGTATGTTGACGTTGACTAGGGATAGCGAAGGCTTTCCGGACCGGGTGTAACAGGTCGTTACCATCGACGGACGGTCATGTGAGACGGCGCCGCTTCGTGGGCGGCTCTTCGGCCGTCAGGTCCAACGTACTCGGTCTCGCAGAAAGATCGGATAGATAGTGCGAGGGTTCGTCGTCCTGGCGGCTCGAGTCATGGACGGCCAGCGCACGTGACTCGATATTGGAAGGATTACGACGTGACGGTACTACAGTACGAATACAGCAGTAGTACCGCTAGGCTTAGTAAAATCACCGCAGTGGAAGGCTCCGTCCGTAGAACCTGTTAGCTGCCCGTGCACTGTCTCGAAAGCGCGGGTGGTCACTGGTATGGACCACTGGTATGGACCGCTAGAGCATAGAGTTACAGTGGCATCTGACCATATTTTTAGCGGTCCTCGGTAGTAGTCGAGCGATGACGCTGTCGAGTAACTAGCGGAGAGATTTGCATTGCCCGTATACAGACGATGATGAAGACTGATGCTGTAATGGCAGACTATCCTCACCATCGTAACCGAACTCTTCCCCAGTGCTCTTCTGTACGCCTCTTTCCCCGACAAAGAAGCCCAGCTTTTGGACGTGCTGCACTTTCCGTCACACGCGACTTGCCACAGCCGACGCAGCTCTCGGTCCCCCTCCGGCAGTATCCGACCGCCTGCCCTTATTCTTCATTTCACCACTGTCCCTCATCAACGTCACCAACTTGCTGGCAGCTTGACCGAAGCCTTGAGTCGTCACAGCCACTCCAGCTCTGCCGCAGACTCGACTCGGTGAATAAGTCGGTACTGGTATTTCGAGGATCCGGCTCATCATATCTGCGTCATTGTCCCCCCCCCCCCCCTAAAGATTCGCTCTGGTCCCTCAACCGTATCTCATACATCCGCTCGGCAACCTGCAACTCAATCCTGCCCGGTATCCCTGTCGAATAGAAGGGCTCTCGACAGAGGCTCGACATCCGCCAGAAGAAAGCCAGCCCGGAATTGCACAGAGGGATCCGCATCCCGAGACACGGCTGGATCACGCACCAGCTCTCTCTCTCGCGCGCGAGGTTGAGCACGGTTCCGTACCGACGAAACAACGAAACAACCGAGGTCACCTCCGTCTGTCTATCAAGCAGAGCTAGCTGGCACTGCAGCCGTACCGCTCACCGATACACCTCATCGCCATGGATACCTTGCTGTGAGTCATGTTGCCGGACTCGTGGCTGTTTGGAACATCTCGTTGCTATCTAGGAGGCACAGTTAGGGCCCCAGGGCAACCGCTGACATGCTAGATTGCAGGACGGCCGAGATTGCGGCCAATGCGCCTCGCTACCGACGCAAAAGCTCGACCTTTATCGACGGCATCCACGATGTCCCCGAAGATCGAGACATGGCCCCGGCCCAGCTCTACAGCACCATGTCCGGCAGACTCTTTCACTCCGGTCGCATCGCCATCGTCATGGTCGGCCCACCGGCTCGTGGCAAAACGTGAGCTCTCCCCCTCCCGTGACATACCATGCAGATCCCACACCTTGGACCCTGCCCGGCGCTGACCGTCAGGAAGCCATATCTGCGTATCCATGTCGCGTTACCTGCAATGGCTCGGAGTCAAGACCCGCATCTTCCATCTGGGCGATTACCGCAGGGCCACGATAGGCCCTGAGGGTGCTGTGCCCGAGGACTACTTCTTCCCCAATGCCTCCCCGGCCTCTCTCATCCTGCGCCAGAAGATCCTCAAGAAGTGCCGCGAGGACATCTATGCCTGGCTCAACCACGAGAACGGCCAGGTCGCCATCTACGATGCGGTAAACCCCACGGCCAGTGGAAGGCGTTCGCTGGCCAAGGAGTTCTTGAAGCACGACGTCCAAGTAAACAGCCCTACCGGGACGAACTGACGCCACACTCGGCAAGCACGGCTAATCTGTCTCTCTTCATTAGACGCTGTTCATCGAATCGTTTGTAGATGACGACCGCATCCTCCATGAAAATGCCCGTAACGTCAAGATCTCGTCACCCGACGTATGTGGCCCCATCTCCGGACGTACAATGCCAGGCTACCCCTCTGCTCACATTGTGACATTCCTAGTTTGCCAACATGGACCCGGACCAAGCTGCGAAGCTGTACCTTCGACGTATCGACATGAAGATTCCCATGTTTGAGACGATGAACGAGAAGGAGATGAATTACATCAAGATGATCAATGCCGGTGCCAAATTCTTCTACAACAACGTCAGCTTCAACTACCTCTCTCACCGGATCGTCTTCTACCTCACAAACATCCACATCAAGTCGCGCACGACCTTTTTCGTCCGCGCCGGCCCCACAACGGAAGAGGACGAGTCGTTTAGGTCAGACGCGCCACTCTCTGACAAGGGCCGAGACTATGCCCAGATCATGTCGGACACTCTCCTGAAGCACCGCGAGCAGGAGTCCCTGGAGCGTGCTGCCAAGACAGGAGCCGCTATCCCTCTACGTCCCTTGTCTGTGTGGACCTCGACCCGTCTCAAGACGGTCCAGACGGCCGAATACCTCAAGGGTAAGGGCTACAAGGTGCGTCAGCGCTCGCAGATGAGCCAGATCAACCCCGGCGCCTGCGAGAAGATGTCGGAACACATGATACGGAAACTATACCCAGACGAGGTCGAGAAGCACAAGCTGGACCCGTACCACCACCGATACCCCCGAGCCGAGGTATGTGTATGAGCCCACTGTCATCGGAAGGTGCAGGATCACGGTGTACTGACGCGTCGGCAGTCGTACCACGACCTTGCCGTTCGTCTCGAACCCATCATCCTGGAGCTGGAGAGGGAGCAGAGCGACCTGCTCATCATAGCCCACGAGTCTGTGCTGCGTGTGCTGTATGCATACCTCATGCACTGCTCGACAATGGACATCCCGCTGCTCAACTTCCCGCGAGACGAGATCATCGAGATCATACCGGCGGCGTACCAGAACGAGGCCAGGCATATCCGCATACCCGGGCTCGAGGCCAAGATGATACCCAGCTCCCCGGACGACGCCAACATCCCTCTGAGCATAGGCAGCGCCCCGCCTAGCAGGTGCGCCAGCGGAGCGGCGAGCGAGATAGCATCCGGTCAGATGAGCCCTCTGCCCGGGGGTCTGGGCAGCCCTCTGGAGTCGGGGACGGAGAAGGCGGGGGACAAGGTGAAGAATACGGGCAAGCAGATGGTGGCCGGCAAGGTGAATGATGAGGATTAGCCGATGGCGAAAGTCTGGATACGGTCCTAGGCGTAGGCAGAGAGTGTCATCATCGGACGACTCTTCTCAGAGAGGCATGCCACAGCCAGTGGCTGGATGAGAAGCGAGACTCAGTATGAGCGCTACAAATACACCCCAAGTACACACTACAAGTACTGGATATTATCTCCGGTCACATGCTGACTACAGGTACTACTCGCAGACACGTATAGTAGTCGTACGAGTCTGAGGATCAATGCCGCGGTGACTCGTAACTCGCATGTACTTGTACCTGATGCTGTGACCTGTAGGACCCTTGTATGAGGCTCTCGGTGTACGTGAGGCTCAAGGCTGAGCCCCTGTCTCGGGATGATTTCCCGTTTTCCGGTCTATGCGTAGGATGTAGGGTGTAGGGTGTAGGGTGTAGGGTGTAGTTGGCAGTTGGCAGCTGGCAGATGGTATTATACATGTACGAACCACGGAGCACGTATACGTGTCGATGTACGATGTAATATGTACTGTACGATTAAATGTATATGTATACGACGTGAGATGTACGATGTATGTACGGTGGATCACACTCTGGTATAGGTAGGTCATTCATTAGGTAGTCGATATGATAACAAAGGAGAAGGAAGAAGGCAAAAGGAGAAGAAGGAGAAGAGGAAGAAGAAAGACATTCCCCAACAAAAAAAAAAAAAAAGTTTAAAAGAAGACAATTGGTAATTGCTAAAGGGTTAGACACTGATGATAACTTCCCGACCCGATCCTGCGTGTCCTTTGTCGTTTCTTTTTTTTTTTCTTTTTTCAGCCTCATTCACCGTGGGGGGGGGGGGGGGGGGGGGGGGGGTTGAGATGTGGTGTGAGGGGAAAAGGGGGATCAAATTGAATCATCTGACCGCTGTTTTTTTTCCTTCCCGGGCTTGGCCTTGTAACCAGTTGTAAGATATTAACTTTTCAGGGTCCTCGTGACTGTTTCTCTCGTTCTTTTACATATATATATTTTATATATATTTAAATATGTATATATGTATATATGTATATATTTATATATATAAACTAATGATTGACTAGTAGGTACTTTTTAGGTACGAAATATACGAAATATACTTGGAACAAACGAAAAAAAAAAAAAATGAAATTTGGAGAAATGGAAAGAAAAAGAAAAAGAAAAAGAAAACCCCCATTTAATGGTAGAATCAGAAATGGACACGTTGGACATGAGACATTGCATGATTTTTTTTTATTCTTTTGCGGTCTGACCGCTTTGACCGAGGATGAATACATGTCCGTGCTCTACATGTAGATTGAAAGAGTTGGGCAGCGAGAAAGGGGAGAGAGAGAGAAGAGAAGATGACTATGATGGAGATGAGATGGGGGTGTATCGTGAGAGTATGGTAATGGCAATAGATATAGGGTAGTTTCTAGACGATGGACTAGGGTCATCTTTTTTTTTTGTAAACCCCCCCCCCCCCCAATCTAATATATATATAATTCAAAGTTTGAAGGTCGATGAAGGTGAATACAAAATCGTCATGTATATATTTTTTGTTCTGTTTATAAAGCTGTACGGATATTACTAGTAGCTTCCATGTGGATAGCACATGTGTAACGAGGAAAACAAGTGTCGAGTACACAATAACATCAAACATGAATGAGGGAGAAGAAAAAGAAAAGAACAAGACCAGAACAGTGAGATAATCCACGTGATGAATGGACTTTTATATACATACATGTAAACTTGGGGAAAGAAAAAAAAAACTCCTTGCGTACGTGGAGTAATATTCATTTTACCATGTACCATATATTATTGACTAGAGAAAGGACCGACGGAGCATAGAGTTGGAAAAAAAAAGAAACAGGAGAAAAAAAAGAAGAAGAAAAAAGACTCCAGGTATCATTACTCCGTACTCCGTACTCCGTAATGTACGTAGGATCGATAGAACGGTGCTGTCTCCTTGTCATATTGATGTGTATCCATTCTGTACATGTAGGAACGAGACCCATGTTTCGTCTATTTTTACCCATAGCATTGCCCGCCCCAGAAGGCGATGATGATACCCTGTATCGTAGATATCCGTATAATAATATAGTACGGTATATCGCATGTAGCATGTACACGGCTTTGCGGGATGGTCCGGGGTTATACGATATCATTCCAGGTCACAAAGATGATGGTCATGATTTTCTGATCAGTTTTATTCTTATTATCATTATTTGTAGGCCTCGAGAGTTTATATTTTTATCTATGTTTTATTTATTTTTTCACGGGATCTCGTGACGATAGAAATAACACTATACATATATGTACAGAGTTAATAGTTTCTCATTCGATATACGGATACTTGTAATACCATGACGAGTAGAAGTACGTGTAGTCAGTGGTACCCTGCATATATATATATATATATATATTATAATAATATTATAATATTGGCACGGGAAGCCGTAATATCATGGGGTAGAGAATAGATAGAAAAAAACTGCCACAAAACTAAGAAGCCCCTAAAAAGGAAAGAGAAAAGGAAAAAGAATAAAACGGTCCTGGTCACGCGTTTCGAAGTCTGTGACGACTCTCAACGGAAGTATAACAGTCCAATATAATAATCAATATAATGAGTGATGCTCCGTACTCCGTACACGTATGACCAATTGCCGTTGACGATTGGCCATATCGACCTCTGCTCTTCTCCACGAGTACACGCTCATCAATGACCAGTACATCTCTCCCCCTTTCCCCTCCCCCCCCTTTCTCTCATCGCATCCATCATGTACATGAATTGTATTATATATTACGCGTAGTACAAGTTACCACTACCACCACCATCACCACCACCACCACCACCACTACTACTACTACTACTACTACTACTACTACTACTACTACTACTACTACTACTACTACTACTGCTGCTGCTGCTGCTGCTACTACTACTACTACTACTACTACTACTACTGCTACTGCTACTACTACTGCTACTGCTACTGCTACTCAACATCATCACTCGACTAGTCACCACTCTCAACCACAACTACTCTCCTCAAAATGACTGCTACGGGTGATAGCCACTGCTCAGCTCCAGCACTCCGATGCAAAGAGCTTGTATAGGCCATATACATGTACGAGTATACGACGACCATCTACATTGATCTGTAGCCTGTCCCGGCTTGGCTGACGGACTCGCAAACCTAGAATAGCTCGTTAGCGTCATATCGAGTGGTCATGAGACCGAAATCATGCATTCCCACCAAATCTTTTTTATCTATTTATTTTTATTCTTTATTCTGTTAACCCTCCCCCTTCTTCTCCCTACTACATCTCTCTCTCATCTTATATTGCAGTGACACATTCTCATCATAATCGATACTAGTAGCAGTACGCGCACTCACTCACTCACTCTACCTGCTTTAGACTACAGCCCCCCTCATCCGTCACCAACCGCTGCCCTCGGTCTTTTTTTGGCGCCATCTCATCCCCCCCCCCCCCCTCCTCCCTCATGCTGATCAAATCCAATCATCCAATGCCCATCCCCTCCCAGTAGCCTGACAGTCCACTCTACAACCCTCTTTTTTATTTATTTAATTTTTTGGTTATAACTTTTCTCTCTTTCTTTCTTCATTGTGCGCTTGCTGGCTTGGCATACGCACAATATTACCTACATAACAACTGCCAGCCTTCTCCTGCTTGGCTCTGCTCTGTCGGGCTCTTTTGCAAGGCCGTAATGTCGATCGTTACCGAGCAGGTAGAGCTTTCCAAAACAACGCGACCCTCTTTCTCCCATGACATCAGGCTCGGTCGGCTCATAGGCCGTGTGTCGTGGGCAGTTGCAGACAGAGAGACCCCTCGCCGTCACGCCTGGCGTTGAGTGGTCACCTCTGGTGTACGTGATGAGTGCACGTTGCTACACCCGAGGCCACACCAACATGGCTCTCTGTCAATCAATTGGGCTCCCACCGTGGCCTTCCACCGTGGCCTCCGACCGAGAGAGACGTGTTTCCTCTCCCCC